TGTATTGAAGGTCAGAGTAGGTATTTTTCCATCAGTGGGCAGCCACCGGTCCCCTTTGCCCCTTTGTTGATGTAAGTGGCAGACAGCCTTTCAGTTCACAAGTCCAAGTAGAGAAAGTCTTGATCTTACTTATCCCAACATGGAAACTAACTGTCCTGAGATGCCATCATGCAAGGGACAGTTAGCCTCTCACTGCTGCATAATGCAAACAACAGAGACATTCTTTCCCTACTTTCTCTTTGTGTATCTTCCCACACACCCTCTCCACAGTCCACCTCCATCAACTCCCAGCAACTCCCTGCCTGCATTCTGCTGACTGCCTGCATCTCTTTCAAGCACTTGAGGCCTCACTGTGTGTAGAACCTCTTCAGCTGGCCAACATCACCCCTGATTTTTTCTGAGAATGCAAGGCCAGGTCACCATCCTCCCAGAAAACCGCATCCAAACATTTTAACAGCATTCACAATTCTTAGGAAGATAACATATTACTGAAGATGAAATCATATTATTATTGCTTTCCTAAATTACTACTCTATAAGTAAAATATATGAAATCTTTTGTAGTACAAAAATAGATCAGGATATGGTCACACAAAAATGTAGGTTTTATAATATTCATTAAATGCTCACTTCTCATTTACCAGCCTTGTAACTCATCTGGTTATTATTGCAAACTGGGTATTATTAGCTAATTTTTCATAATAGTTATATAGCTAACCTTTACCAGCTATCTATGTGTCAGGCACTGAAGTGTTTTCTACGTATAGTTATTGAAGTCTCACAAATCCCCCTGAAATAGGTACTACTATTTCCATCATAATACAATATAGAAACCAAGGTCTTGAGAAGTCAAGTAACTTACCAAAGTCACACAGCTAGTAAGATGCTTTATTCCTCTAATAAATAATAATAACAAGCTACTTCAGAGTAGCTCTTGTATCACTCTGCATCCCCAGATGGGCTTGGCTCTCAATAAATAAAGTTTATATATGAGAGAAGAAATGTTTTATTTATACTTGATACCTAGAACACAGTGCTATAAAGTGAATGTTTCAAAATATTTTATTATAAAAGAAACATTAACAGGCTACTGAGATTTAAAAAGCAAATCCACATAAGATAACCTAAAGCTATTTATAGAAGACTTATCAGTCATTAAGCTGGGTTCCAGGGATCCAAATATGAATAAAGTGTCACTTCTGTCCTTAAAGAATAAGAAGTCTGAAGGGAAAGCAGACAGCCAAGCAATCAAACATAATAAAATAGAATTGTTTTTTAAATGTATATATAAAGCGCTATGGGGCCACACATGAAAAACTATTTTTTTTCCAGTAGAATCATTAGTTTTTTTCTTCCCTTTAATTAGTAATAGGCTCAAACATAAAAATAAATGGTACTTCAAAATTTTTTACTAGAAAGTTTATTGCATTAATCTATAAACTCATTTGGTGATATAAATGACAGTGCAGGCTAATGCTGCTGAAAGTTTATCATCTTTGGATAAGAGATATTTTAACACTGAAAGCTGTTTTTGCTTGCTACAACGAAGAAAATCTGAATGCATTTTAATTTTTTTCCTTTTAAAAATAGATATTGCGGTTTGTTCAAAATGAAGCCTGGACTAAGTACTCAACTAGAATAAGCAGACCCAGTGTTAGGACACCAATTTTAAGGGGACCTTAAAAAGGGAGTTTGCCATAATCTTTTTTTTTTCTTTCTTTTTCTTGCAGGAGTCGAACCAGTAGCCTCGTTGTTAAGAGCGCACGCTTTATCCACTGAGCCATCCAGGTGGCAGCTCAGCTTAAGGTGCTGAGTTCAGTCCCAGCTGCGGGTGGTCATAGCCACCATCTTGAACAGGCAACCTTGTCATTAGGAGCACGTGCTCTCACCAGCTGAGCCATCCTGCCACCTCTTGGCAGCTCAGCAGCAGCTCAGCTCAGGCGCAGCGTCACTGGCCCATGTGGGAATCAAACCGGTGATCCTGTTGCTCAGAGCTTGTGTTCTTAAGCAATGCCATAATCTTTAGTTGATAAACAAGCCCCTGTCCACACTGTGTGATTCTCACTTGTGTATCGATGTACATTCACATGACATAAACCCTTTAAAACCTAAATATCTCTCAAATATTTATTTTGAATAATAAACACATTACCCAGGAATAGAAAATTTGTTATTTTAAAAAACATACAAAACTCAAGATTTTTTTTAATGATTTTATCTTATTTTAAGGGGTAAGTAGACTTCTAATATTCACATGAATTCTAAATGGTTGTGATAGTTTTGTGCAATTTCTGCAATATTTATGGTTTAACAATCCCAATAATTGACAACTACCATTGTGGTTATTTGGAGTCAAGATGATCACATTTACATAATTTTTTTGTATTACTCACAAGACACAGTCATTGTGCTAATGCATTTGGTTGGGACAGGTTATAATTGTCCTATTATAAAATTCTATGTTGGCTTTCCTGAAATTGGTGAATATAATTTTCCATAGAGATAAAACTAAGCACATTAAACCCTCTGCTAACATTACTACTATAGCATGGGAGAGGGATTTATATCAAGCATTGTAAATAATTATGAAATTTCCATTATCATGTAATTAACTACAAATATCATACTTCCCATATTAAAGCAAGCATACGAGCTATCATTTGGGCCACCTTGATGTGTTTTATACAAAAAGAAACACTTAAATTTTTTCTGGGGTCAGCAGAGTGGCATGTTGGTTAAGAGTTGGCTTGGGACACCAGCTCTGAGCAGCAGGGCCCTGGTTCAGATCCCACATGTGAGGGCCAGTGATGCTGCGCCTTCTACAGCTAAGATGCTGAACAACAGCTCGACCTGGAGCTGGGCTGCCGTGAGTCGCCGGCTATGGCATAGGCTGCAGCCCTTGCTGCAGTGGGCTGCTGTGAGCTACCAGAGTGGCCGGCAGCCGGTGCGAGCAGCCATGAGCCGCCGTGAGTCCAATGGCTGGCAAGCGACTGCCTCACCCGGGAAGAGCACAATGATAATACCAACATGGGCCAGTGAAGCGACGTCCTCCACAACTAGACTGAAGAACAAAAGAACAGCAACTTGTCTGTTCCCCTTCCCCGATTCCCCAATGCTGTTCCCTCCCCCAAATCCCCCATAAAAACTAAAAAAAAAAAAAAAAATCTGATACATAAACCTCTAAGGAAAGACTAAGTTTTGCTGATATTCCTGCACGAATCGCTTTACCCAGGTATTACCTAGCTCATTCACATCTTTGACCTCTACAGGACGCAGGGAAGAAATTATGTTTAGGGTCCTAAATTAATATGGGTTCAAAGATCATGAGAATAGATTCACTAAGTATGAAGAATGACATCACCATCAAATGTATCTGAAAAAGTTCCAAAAGATTGTCATTTCAAGGGGGGGAAATTGTCAGGGCCTTTTGTCTTTAATTCTCATTCTGACAAAAGTATCTCTCTTTACCATATCTAAAATTTTCACTTCTCAACTAGACAGATAGAACATGTAGTTTTACACTATCCAAAATGCTATGTGTGTTCTGATGTTTGAAAGGTCCTGAGTGAACCCTGATAAGTAAGAGTCCCTTGGTTCAGGACAGCAGCTGTCCTGGGCGATTGATTTGTCAGAAAGAATGCTCAGGAAGGGATGGCAGTGCTCCTTTGAGTTCACATCTGCTGCCCAGGTTTTTCCTTCAGTTGCTGTTGCCTTTTATCTTTGTTCCTTTTTTTTTGTCCCCCGGTAGTGGAATGAGATTAGAAATGGATGTTTTTGTTATTTATTTTTTTTCTTTTACATATCTCCGGGGAGTGATGGGAAAACTAAGACTTACCATGGAGCTCTGAGGAGATGATCCTTATAAAAACAAGGGAAAAAAATGTCTTTGCGTTTTTCTTACCAGCAAGGACGTTTTGTGGCTATTGACTCACGAATGTCTGAATTAGATGCCTATATTCTATTGTCAAGGATCAGGTGTGATTAACTGCTGGCATAAATCAACTGTTTTAAGGTGTGTTCCAAGCAGTTTCACATTTCCTTGTATCAACTTCGGGGTTCCCAAAAAGAAACAGCCATCAAGGAAGAAATGCCCTCAGATGTTTGTTCTATCATCCACCTGACCAAACCACCATCACAGGTGCAGGTGTGTGCTATGAAATCACTGGACATCCCAACTTGATAACTGGGAGGGACAATGTGAAATGTATACTACTGGCAGAACAGGTGCACAATACATATTGTTCATTGCTGCATGAGACAGGACGCCACAGTGGGTGTCCTTAAAAGATTGAAGACCCGTTTTCTCTTATGAAGTTGCTTCCTCTCTCAGCCTTTCAGCGCTTTGGCTCACTCATGTAGGTCAAAGAAAGAGAAACTGGCTTCCTTGCAACATATGGGCATTCTCATAAGACAACTACCCTGGGGTGCAAAATGTTATTGCATGATAAGTATGCACAAGATGAGCATCATCTGGTTTGCCTAGAACAGTCTAGATCAGGGGTTGGCAAACTGCAGCTCGCAAGCCACATGCGGCTCTTTGGGTACGCACACGTGGCTCTGAAGTAAAATTGAAAATGAAAATAAAACTATCATAGTTTCATTTATAAAATTTTTACAGGATATTATTCACATAATTGTGATTTCATTTGTTTTATGGCTCTTGAATAATTTTTAAATTGTTGTGAGGGACAAGATTGGCTCTTCCATCTCAAAAGTTTGCCGACCCCTAATCTAGATTAAAGTCCACTGTAGGATAATTATTAATAATGCCCTCATTCACTCTCAGAAGCATCTCAGATTGGATGATCAATCCTAATGAAGGTCTTTAGTGAGATCAGTGTGTGGTACTCGCTCAGTAAGGATAGCTTCCCGCTCCCATTACTCCTGGTTTAACCAAGACTCAGAGCCCGCAGATCAAAAGGAATTCCATTTTAGAATATCAAATCTTCTCTATTTCAATTATAAGCCATTCAGCTATGGTTTCTATTCTATTTTAGTAATGACCAATTTCAATAGAGTCAACTTATATATTTTCATCTCCTCCCTCCAAAAGAAAAAAACAACAATTCACTTTTATCAAGCAAAAAGATAAGTGCCAATAATACAAGAAACAATGAACATATAATATTTTTTCATTAACAATTCAAACACTACAAAACATAGAATATACAACTTAAAAGTGAAAATACAAATTAAAGAAAAATGGGGTACATGTCATATTAGCAATGCAAAAGACCAGCTTAAGCATAGTTTCTCTAAATCAACAATTAATAAAAAGAAAAGTGCCCTTTTCTCAAATATGCACAAAAATATTTCAGTCACTTCTAGGGGAAAATTAATAAAAACTTTCTGCTAATTCTATATTACAGCATGTATTACTAATGGTTTACAAAACTTAAGTGTCTCCTTACACTTAAAATTTACAGCCTTTTCCAAGCATTATACACTCATTCAATCCAGTCTGTCAAAAATAAAATTATTTCATTTCTATATTTATGAAATAATTACTGATATGTTATGGATCTCAAGTCGTGAATGTGTATGATAGGGACAGTGACCAGAATAATGTCATGGATTTAAAGTGGGCCAAGGGTCAGACAGACAGAAAGATCCCCTCTGCCTGGCACATATGGATTCCTGTAATAATTCTAGTATTTCTAAAATAATTCTAATGGTACATTTCTTCATTCTAAAAAAGTCTAGGTTTTCATATTTAAATTTGCTATTCCACTTCTAGAGTTTGTTCAAAGTCTATCGAGTTATGCCACTCAACAGAACGTTTCCTCCTGGGTTCATATTATCCCGACAATTCTGAGTCCAGCTGAAAAAAACATAAACAATCAGGACTCAATAATATGCTCCTCTTCCTCTACATGTTTAGTGATTCACACTAAGTTTTATGGTAAACTGCACAATCCTAGGTATAGCTCTACAATGCGCATGAGAAAGAAAATATTTAAATTTTAACTTTTCAAGCAATAATACCAATGTCCACTGCAACCCACGTGTCTGAAGGAGATCTGCAAGGTCATGCTTGTAACCAAGATTTTACAGTAAGCCATGCTTTCTGGGTGCAGTCCTAAAACTAACAAGAATGGGAACTCACTTTGATATCTCCTTCCAAGCCACCTGTAGAAAAGGACCTATGCTCAGCCAACCTCAGCTTTGAGCTTTCTGGTTTACATCAGCAATTGCCTACCATGCAGATTAACATTCATAATCAGTGGCAAACTGGAGGATGGAGAAGAACCGGACTGCAGTTCTGGAAAGGGCTCCAGTGGCTACCGAGCGGTCCTTTGGTGTCATTCGCTGCTGCTGCTGCTGCTGCTGCTGCTGCTGCTGCTGCTGCTGCTGCTGCCGCCTCCATCCTCTTGCTTAGGGGAGGATGAACTGTCTCGGACTGGCAGCAGGTCATAATGGCAAGGTATGTGACTGTTCTTTGGGAGGTCGTATGGATCCTGAGTGAGATGCCCATTGTTGCTGAACATTCCTTGGACAACACTCACTGTAGGTTCTGTGACAACCAGGGACACATTAATTTATCATCAATGAACATTTTTTAATAAGGAGAATATGGCATTTCTTACAAATATCAAACATATGAGGAGTTTTTATAAAAATATAAGAAAATACTCTTTTTAAAAACAAATGATCTTTTTATAATGACATAGAGGTGGCTATTTTCTGGTTGGCAGACCCACTGACACACACAAATGGTGTTCAGAACAAAAGGATGGCCATGTGGTTGGGATGAAGACATCGAGGGAATATACAGAAACCCTGGATATAAAATAAATCATTATCTGAAAAAAGCTTGGAGATAATCTAGTGCAGGGGTCGGCAAACTTTTGAGACGGAAGCACTGCCAGGGGTCAGCAAACTGCGGCTCGCGAGCCACAGGCTCTGACGTAAAATTGAAAATGAAAATAAAACTATCATAGTTTCATCTATAAAATTTTTCAAGGATCTTAGTCACATAATGGTGATTATGTAAAAATATATTTATGGCTGTCGAATAATTTTTAAATTGTTGTGAGGGACAGGATTGGCTCTTCCAGGGGTCAGCAAACTTTTGAGACAGAATGTACCTAAAAAGCCGCAAGTGGCTCGCGAGCCACAGTTTGCCGACCCCTGATCTAGTGCAAACCCTTTACTCTATAGGTAAGAAGACTAAAGTCTTTGCAGTTCAACTCAATTCATGGAAACACAGGTTCACAATGTTAGGATTCAGGCTCTCAGCTGGGTTCCCGTCTTACAGTGGTGGGCTTATGGGACAGTTCAAAGGGGACTTGTTACTGGCCTTTCCAAAATAAATCTAGCTCACTAAGCCTTTCATTTAAAAAAGCTGCTTAATTCTTTAAAAATAGTTATATATCTTTTCAGTAATGTGTTTGTAGCATAAAATGAATTACTAGTGACTAAAGTTAAATTAGCCACTTCATTTACAAGTAGTAGAGAATTTTTTAAAAGTTCAAATCATAAGTATTGATAGAGAGAAAGAAACCTAGCCAATAATAGGTCTGATACGTTTTAACTTTCTCCCAGTGGTATTTGTAAGGGGCAATCAAAATAACTCTAATTTTAAATTGAATTCTTATTCATTTGTATCAGATTCACAACTGAGACTATTACTGATATATTAGACAAATTTAAAAGTAAAAGTTTTCAATTCTGCTAAAAGCATTATATTAATATAATGAATGCAACCAGGAATTGGAACCACCTGTTTAATCTACTGGAACCATTTGTTTTGGCTAACGTGACATATCAGCTAATATGATACATATGCTATTCCACATGTGTGCTAAAATATTCACTATGGTTACAAAACAAAAGATGGATGACCAGGTAGGAGGTAAGGAAAACTTCCTTTGAATTTTCTAAATAATATTTTCCCTGAATAATTTATTTGACACCAATTAATATGATCACTGTAAGCACAATTTACATGTAAAACATGAGCTATTTTTTTCAATGAGGTTTATATGAACTGCTGTTGCATTCTCAAAGACTTTAAAATTGGTTTTTAAAAAATTCCTATACGAGCTTCTTCCTCTGGTTAGGACTCACCAACTTCATAGACGTTCTTGTTGGCTGAAGTTGAGTTATTGATCTCTGCATACGGGGAATCTCTCCGAGCTGGTGACTTCATCTCCACATAACCACATTCTGAGCTTTTGGGGATAAGTACAGGTGGATCTTTAATAGTGGCATATGGGTTTTCAGAACTGCTTAAAGAGCAGTTACTTGAATTATATTCAGGATTCTTTCCCAAGTCTGGAAGAGAGATGGGGGGCAAAAATGCAAATGCTGTTTGATAAACAACGTTATTTTTCCTCTTGGCGATAATTTACTTGGGTAGTTTTACTCTGTAACTAGTTTTCTAAATTATATACACTGAAAATAATGCTATATGCATGTGTTTTCCACTTAATTTGGAGATGATTTTCTATAAAATTGCTATAATGCATAAAAGACTATAAAGTAACGTTAGCTCTTCTCTAAGGTGAGTACCAATGTAAACATCATGGATTGAATTTCATTTTGATTATCACACTCAAATAAAATTAATTCCATTCCATTTTACTAATAGTCTCCGATTCTCAAAGGCTTCAATCAAGAAACCATCTGTTAATGGCCCCAGGCGCATAAGAATGTTCTGTTATGGTGAGAAAGGCATTTGTGTCGTGAGGATTCCTTATACAACCTCAGTACTGGTTCCATGAAGTTATTACTCAAACTCCTCCTGAGGAGCAGGCCTCGGTGGGCCTGAAATCACGCTGATCTCTTCCTATTTTCCCTGCTATTTCCTTTCCTACAGTTCTCTCTCCCCATTAGCCATATTTCTTTTGAAGGAAATATGAGTGTTTCTCCAACAAACTGAAACCTTTGTCCTCCCAGATTTATGCTCTAACTAGATCCATCTATGGCCACTCTCTTGATATATCGGTCAAGTGTGTTTGTGTGTTTGTTGGAGTAATTAACCACACTAACAATTCTACATTTCTCCTCTTGCTCGTTTGGCAAATTATCTCAGTCTCGGAGATAAAAATATTTTTAAGAACTGTAATTCCAATGAATGTATTTATTCCTCAGATTTACACCGTACCTTTCAAGGACTTTCCCATGTAACTTCTGTCAAGTCCAAAAGCACCTGTAATAAAGGAAGAAAAAAAAATACCCACTGAGAACTGAAAGCAAGAGACAGCCCATCTAATATTTCAAGGTCATGGAGAGAGATTGTTTGGGCACCCACTGCAGGAAATGACCAGGACTGCTGCTTTTCAAACCTTTACACCAGATAACTTGTGTCTGATGTCCCTGGTGCTTAGAATTAAAAATACGCATATATCATTCTGCTTCTCATTTACAGTGACTTTGGGAAAGCCGATCAATACAGGTCGACACTGAGGCCCAGGTGAATCGGTACACTTGGTTCAAGGTTGTACAGTGGAAAGGACACAGCCAGGGCTAAAACTGAGAGAAAGGACTTAGAGTTCATCACTTGTCAGCCACATGACTATCGGCAAGATGCTGAACTCTCTGAGTGTCAATGTTCTTATCTCTACAAAGAGGAAAACAAAACCTGCCTTCCAAGCCTGACAGGGTTGTGGCAATCATTAAATAAAATAGAGCATAGGCTTTGTAAACTCTGAAGTGCCACATAAATCAATGAATGGTGTTTCAATTACTGTTAACACTCACTGTGCCATACACTATACCCCCGCTTCAGTCTAGCTGTAAGCATTCCAAGGCCTTTTCAATGATCCTTTAAAGGAATTTATGGAATTAGGCTAACAACAGAATAAAGTCATAACTTGGGATGGACATTAAAATAAGGATGAGAAATGGTAAAGAAATGATCCCTGTCACTGTGCATGTGCTTCTTAGAGTGATGTTAAACTTAAATTCTAGTGGTGATGTCCTATGGGGGCACACTTTTGTGGAGAAAGAGGGAGGACCCACTAAAGGGAGAAGATGTGTCTAATACCAATCCCCGTGGGACAGGAAATGGGAACACTTTCCTCTCTCAGGCACACTCTCTTGGGTGTCTGGGTTGTGAAGTGTAGCCAAGCTTCCAGCTGGTAGGAAAGGCACTGACTTATGCAGCAAGGCAGGGTAAGAACATATAGTGAGGAATTAACCTTACCAAAGAGTGGTCTGGCCTTTGCCCTGGGTTCCTGGGAGGTCTCCTTGGAATGTCGTGGCAAGTAAGTGTTTTTATTTACCTGGGGGGCCTAGGGCTACACTGGATAGTCTAACAAAGTGATCTGTGGGAGGGGTTTGGGGCCACATGGTATCAGCTTAACCTCCAGATGAGCTGGAGACTGAAGGTCAACCACATGGGCAGCCAACCAAGTCTACGTGACCAAACCCCATAAAAAGGCTGGACACCAACGCTGAGGTGAGCTTCTCTGGTTGGCAACGCTTTATGTGTCTTGTCACATATTGTTACCAGGAAAAGTCAGCATTTTCCATGATTTCACTGGGACAACTGGAAGTTTCCTGCTTTGAATTTTCCTTTTCTCTGCCCCTGTTGCTTTCCTTGGCTGATTTCAGTCTGTATCCTTTTGCTGTGATAAATTATAACCATGGGTATAACAGCTTTTGGTGAGTTCTGTGAGTTTTTCTACCAAATTATTGACCCCGAAGTAGTCTTGGGGATTCTCCAACTTTGTAAAGGGATCCTCTGAGAGCTGTGGCCTCTGAGAGCTCCTTATCAAGGAACTCTATGTTACTCTTTGCCAAATTCCCACAGCCATTTCCAAACTGTCCCAAAGTCTCGTTCAATGTACATCTTGGCATTAGCTGTGCAATGAGGCTTTTCAAGGGGTTAAAGAGAGCAGCTTGGGGTAGATGGTAAATTAGGAGACAAGAGTTGGGGCTGTGAGACACAACACTCCTGCCAGATTCTCTCTCTTCACTGTCTTGGAAGATCGGGGTGCCGTTTTAAACAAGGGAGCAGGTAAGTTTCCTCATAAACTTCCATATGTCCCAGTCCCTGGACAGGTGCTTTCAAATCCTCAGGTTAATCTAATTCCTACAATGAGTCAGGGCACAATCATTATCCCTATTTTGCAAATGAACATATCAATCTTGAGAGGGTTATTGGTCCAGTGTCACATAACAGAACCAGGAATTGATCTCAGGGCTTTTGTGTCAAGTTCAGGGCTCTTTCAGCCAACATCACCACAACTTTCCCACCATTTAAAATGCCTACACACTTCATCATCCATAAAGTGCCCACTCTGTTCTTTCTAAGAGAAGACTTTTTCTGTGCAACAACTTTAAAGGGACATTAAATGCAGAATTACTCTTGGAATGGAACAAACCAAGGAGATCCAGCATTTCCAATGAAGATTTTATGTTCCCAACCATCAGTCCCTTGGGTCTCATTGAGACAAAAAGCAGAGATTTGTGACCATTCCAGTGACTGTGTGTTCTGGAATCAGAACAAATTACAGTAGGTGAAGGTGGCACAGAGGACTTTTCCCTCAGGAGTGCTTGGTGGCATTTAACTGAAGAGCAATTCATGTACTTGTTTGAGCTAAATTATTAATGTAATTTAGACTTTTAAAAAGCCTCCCTAATGTTAAATAATTTCACCAATACATATATTATAAATAAGTATATTGTGAATAAGTGTATTACATAAATAATTTTACTGTAAGTGTGCAAAAATACATATCCTGCTGATAATGACGGTGTAGAATGCACATAAAAGTTAAGAATTTGTACTCGTTTCCCTGCTTAGACATTTGCATTTCTATAGTAAGAAGAGATTTCAGAGCCCACAGGGACTGGTTCCCATATCTGGCTTAGATGATTGGATGTATATGGTGTTCACAGATAGATCAGAGGGGAGCAGTCAGAAGACCAACAGTGAGACCTAGTTTTACCCCCTTCCCTGCATGAAATCTTGGACAGGAATTAACCTCTCTGTGCCTCATAGTTGTTTTTCCTCTATGAAACAATATTCATGGAAGGGCCCACCCAGCAGGTGCCAGATTTAGTAAATAAAAACACAGGAAGGCCAGTTAAATTTAAATTTCAGAGAAACAACATATAATTTTTAGTATACGTATACCTCAAGCCCCATATATTTGGGATATATTTATATTAAAAGTATTTGCTGCTTATTTGGGTTTTATGGTGACAGTACCACCACATAAATACACATGAAAAGGTTTGTTACGAATAAGGCACCTCACACACGTTAGTTACTATATCACCAAGCTCCACCTTGAAAATAAGGTGCACGTGCTTGGAAATGGCACCATCTCCTCAGTGGGATATCAAGACAGTTCTTCACATGTGGTCCAGGAAACTTACCCCCTTTGCAGGAGGATCATGAGATCCAACTTTTCTCATAATGATACAACAACACTGTTTGCCCTTTTCACTCTCTCAGGTATATGGTGGAGTTTTCCAGGAGCTAAACCAAGTGTGAAGTCACTACTGACTGAACACAGAAGCAGAACGAAAATCTAGCTGTCCTCTATTAAGGATGAGATTAAAGAGATTTATGAAAGTGTTAAACAGGGCCACTCTTTTCACTGTTTTTTTTAACGAAGTAATCTTTCATCAAATACATCTTATGTTATCGTGAAATGCGGTTACTGTTATTAAAAACAAATTAATAAATATTTAAAATGTTCTCAGTTTTAATTTGTAATATGTAAATACATAATTTAGTATGTAAATATCAATAGATATAATCCATATCAACAGAAATTCTTTGGGGGTCCACCTTTAAAGAATCTGTGAAAGGGTCCTGATTCCCAAATGCTTGAGAACCAGTGATTTATTACATTCCTGTTGCTATCACCACCTCCTCACCTAAAAGGGGAAGGGGCCTGCAGTATGGGGACCCCATATTGAAAGAGAACAAAGAGGCGCACACATCCTGGCCTCCCACTGACTAGGTTCCAATCCCAGCCCTACCATTAACGGGCTTTGCGACTTTGCACAAATTACTTAATCTCGTTATGACTCAGCTTCTTAACTGTAACATGGAGATGATGATGGTAATAATAGTACCTACCTAGTAGAGTACTTGTGAGAATTAAGTAAGTTAATACATGTAGGGTTAGAATGTAAGCTACAAGCAGGCAGAGATCCTGGTCCCATTTTACCATTCCTGCCATGTAGTAGACCCCAATCAATGTCAGGCAGATAAGGCACTTGGGACAGGTATAAGTCTATCGTTCTGTTTGTTTGTGTATGCTGTCAATAGATCGCTTTGGCACAAACACGAATCTGTGAGTATCTGAGGTGACTAAAGATAAAGGCGCTTGGTCAGGGCGGGCGTTGGGAGGACTTGCCAAGCTCGTTGAGGTAGCCACCATGTTTCCAGTCTGCGGGCAGCGTCCCCGTGCAGTCCACCACTGGGCCTCTCTTTCCAGGAGTCACGTTTTTCAGATTCACAAACAGCTGATTGTTTTTGGACTATTAAAAATAGAAACAATACAAGATGTGAAAAGGGAATGCACTGTGACACAGCACCGTCTCAGTCTCACTGATCTGGGGAAAGCAAGTCCACAGCAGGTATGAAAGACTTCCTGACACGAGGCTGGGCTGAGGCACAGAGATGAGCGCTTCCCACCTGGTGGGACCCAGTTGGCAGCAGGAGTCCATCGGCCCCAACTGTTGCCTCCACGGCCTCAACTTCTTCCTTTCACATTGTTACTCTGTACCAGTTAGACCTTGTTTGGGTTTTCACACATGGAACTTTGAATTGAGAAAAGCAAATTCTTGGTCTGAGCTCTCCCATCAAACACTGTATGAGCTTATATGAGTCACAAGCGACTCGAAGCAGTTTTCCTAGCTACAAACATGAGGATAAGATTATCCACTCTTGCCTCCCTCCCTGAATGTGAATGAGAACAAATGGAATGATGAATATGAAAGTCTCTGGAGAATGTGAAGTGCTATTTAACTATGAGGCGCTATAATTAAAATCCAGCTGCATTAACTTAATTGCAACCGAATTAATTTAATTAGCTTGGTTTTCTTCTAATGGAGAGCTGGAGTTAGGCCATGGAGATTGGAAATATAACCCGGGTGCAAATGGGAGGGAGAAATGTTTGGGATTTTGGAGCAGTGTGAAAGAGACCTGGGCTGAGCTGGGTGGTCTCCAGGAGCAGCTTGGGGTCTGACAGCCCTGGGTCTCTAACCTCTCTATAACCTCTCTGCATCTATAAAATGGGAATAATAATCACCCTTGATTCACAGAATTGGTGTGAAGATTAAATGAGTTTCTATTTGTAAAATGATAAGAAATGCTCGACACATAGAAATGCCCGGCACATTGTTCCTATTTGATCATCTTTATCTTACAAAAATGCAATTTCATGTGGTTCAACCTAAATATAATAAATACATATTATTATTGCTATTATTTGTTATAAAAGTACAGGTGTCCAGGAAAGGGCACAAGCAGACAGGTGGTCAGAAAAGACAAACTTGGCAATTTTACCCAGGCTTGAGTCTGCTGTGAGACATTATTTTAGAACCTCATGCAATATTAGAAACATTTTTTTCCAAAGAGGTGCAATGGAAATAGTACAAACTGTAGAGACATGGAGACCTTGACTCACATCACAGCTGCCTCACTCACTAGCTGGGGAGCTATGCTTGGAAGTGATTTAAATTCCCCATTACACAGGGGTTTTTTTGTCATTAAACTTGAGATCCTAATGCATACTTATAGGATTGTTTAGAGGAATAAATGGGAAAATAAATATGAAGTTCCTAGAACAGCATCTGGCAAACCGCAGTCCCTAGATACCTTCTTGTTCCTTCCTCGTTCCCCTGCCCACCTTCAGCGATGTGAGCCATTTCCTCTCACCTTTGCAATGCTCATCCTGTCCCGGTTGTTGACGTGAGGGGACGTGGCACACTGGGTGAGTGTGTGGTAACTGGGATTGGTGAAGTAATGGCTGTTAGCATTGCCACTATTGCTGTGAGGAAGGGTTTCTGCAAGAAGAGAAGGAAATGGTTAAGATAGCAGGCTCCCCAAAATCTGAGTGAAAAGAGGGGAAGCAAATGAACAAGAACAAATGTTTGGACTGCTTCCACATCACAAGCTGGGCAGAATACCCTTCTATCCAGCATACTCAGCAAAGCTTCTAGAAGCAGCAGGAGTCTGCCTTCCTACCTGCCTCCCTGAAAAGCATGAAAATATCCACAGCTAACTAAGTGCTCTTTGATTTGGGGCTTGTACAAGCTGGGAAGGTATCACTTTGAAGCTATGTCTGCTGTAATTTTCCTCTTTTTTTAAACACTTGAATTCTTGACACAATATTCTGCACTAAAAAGATACTATTAAGTAAATCAGTTACTTTATGTATTCCGCCAGGATCAGTATATTTGTAAACATGTGACCCCCTTGAAATCCTTCAGTGATTGCCCAAAAATTAATAAATATTTTAAGTTCCCAAACACCTCGGTTTAAGTGGTTACGTCTTCTGATGGTTGAGCATGTCACTTAAAAATTTACTTTTATAGGAACTTCTTACAGAAAGAAAGATTCCAAAGAGTTTT